CTTCAGACTCCAAATCCCATGATCACTATCAGTGTGGCATCAGGTGGCCTTTTGGCAATCAATTAAAGTAGGCCATCCAAATCATGGAAATAGCAGAGTTCCACAATCATTCATTCGTTTGTCTGGACAGACACAGGGTGGCCCAGGTCCAACACTAAGCATCTATTTCCTCCACTATGAGAGTGTTCAAATGGTCAGACAGGCCCCATCCAGCACACAGCTTGGTTTCTAATGAGCAGTTCATACAAGATGGGTTATTTTCATTGAAGTAAATGTTGATGTTGATGAAAATATACCAGCAATCTAAAGGTTGTTATATCAGGATGAAAGGATGTGAATAGTTTTGTTCTTTTAACCAATTCCTTAGGTATGTCTTTTTTTCAATTTTATTTTAGGGTAGACATATTTTAAAAAGATTATTTAAAAGATAAAAAAATTAATCTAAAGCTGGGCATGGTGGCACACATGTAATCCCAACTGCTCAGGAGGCTAAGGCAGGAGGATCGTGGGTTCAAAGCCAGCCTCAGCAAAATCGAGGAACTAAGCAACTCAGTGAGACCCTGTCTCTGAATAAAATACAAAAAAGGGATGGGGATATGGCTCAGTGGTGCAGTGCCCCTGAGTTCAGTCTCCAGTAACCCTCCCTCCCCATCTACAGATTTCGAAATATTTTAAAAGGATTATTGCTCTTGAAATACTCTTTACGTTCTTTAATAATTATCTATAGCACCTCCACATGTATAATTTATATCACAGACTATATATAGAATTTTAATTCTTAAAAGCCCCTCCCCTTACAGGACAGCCCCTTTATTGTATAGACAGCCCTTCCTTAAACATTTTTCAGCTTTATTAATCTTTCCCAGATGGAGGGCTCTGGCTAGCCCTCCATCTGGGGCCACATCCTCAAGTCATAGAAATGTCAATTTTATAACAAAGAAAAATAACATTTTTTCCAGTACTTCCTCACACATAGTCTCACCACCGCCCCAAAACTTTGTTCAAGATAGACCCTATCTTTAGGTACTATCTCTAATGATCCCCAGACAGATGAAAGTCTTTACCTGAACTGTAACTGTTGACTCAGCAATATGTGCATAATTCCCTCTCTCCTTAGTTTATAAACACCATTGACGTTTGTCACTTTAATATACAGGGACACTAAATATCAGAAAATAAAAGCTCCTGGTAAGAAGGAAATATCTTTCTTCTCCACTGCTATATCCCCAATACCTAAAACAGTATCTGATGCATAGTAGATGCTCAATAAATGAAACTAGTGAGCAAATGGTAAACTTTGCTTTCCATTTCTTTGGCTCAACAGATAAATGAGCAATTAAAACAAATTTCCTGAAGGATATTATAGAGAAATTTCTGCCACTGGAAAAGTTTAAGCATATCTCTGGTTAAGAATCAAGTAAGAGTTGGGCTGGGGATGTGGCACAAGCGGTAGCGCGCTCGTCTGGCATGCGTGCGGCCCAGGTTCGATCCTCAGCACCACATATACCAACAAAGATGTTGTGTCTGCCGAGAACTAAAAAAATAAATAAATATTTTTTTAAAAAAAAGATTTAAAAGAATCAAGTAAGAAATATTTATGCATGGAAAAAACTGAACCAAATGAACTCTAAAGTTCAACTCTTAACATCTATAACTTGATGAATAGCAAACCTTAAGAGGGAGTGGTTCGGTTACATAAACCCTGATTCCCAGGTAAAGTAATTGCCATGTGCTGTTTAAAATCAAGATAATTGCTGCCCTGGGATACAGATGCAAAAATGCTAATTCATCCAAAATGTAGACACATCCCTAGGAGGGAAATGTCCTTGTTAATTATCAGTTACAATCTGGAAACAGCACACACGTGTTTCAGGATTTTCTCAGGACCAAGCCCTAAAACCATCAGTGGTTAAATGAAGAAGTTGGGGATGGAGATTTCAAATGGAACAAACAATATCACATTAAATTAAAGCTTTTGTTTTTTGCAGTCAACAACAAATTCACTTAAGAAACATCTGAACTTAAACCTTGAGGTTTTAATGGTTGTAACCGAATATAGCTACTTCATAAAACAGAAAATACTACATTTGACATATAAACATTTCTCCCCATGAAAATGTATTTACCTTGATATCACACTAACATGTCTAAAACTGAAGACCAATTATTCCAATTGAAATTTTCTTTAATCTGGATGGGAGATGCAGTTTGTAGGAAAAGGAGATAACTTGTGATTTTGCAAACAACTTTTTAAAAAACATAATTAATTCTAAAGGAGCAACTATGCAAATCCATTCCCATATAAATCAACCTTGAAGTGACCCTTTTCCCTCAAAAATGTTTCCTTTCTTTGATTCAAAACATAGAATAGATAAGGGGATTGGAAAGGCAGAGAATTCTAGCATTAAAGATGCAGTGCAGTTTGCTTGGAACTGGGTTTAGAGAATCTTCTGCATTCAATGAGTTGTTCTTAGACACAACTATAGAGACCCCATTTAAAAGAATAACTCAATGAAAAAAGTCAATCAGTTCAACAATTCCTTGGAAATGAAATCACACATTTTCTGTAACGTATTAAGAGACTTTCCAAACTTATAGTCAATTCCTGATTACTCATACAAGTCAGGGGAAAAAAAAGTCTTCCATTTTTAAATTTTAAGTAATTTAATCTTAATTCCAGTGACAACAGGAAATGTGCAGAAAGCAGTAATTTCCTCTGTATCTTTTTAAAATCTCCTCTATTATCTGAATGAGAGTTCTTACACAAGAATCCATGGGGCTCCAGCTCACATATGGTGGGCAGACCTGGTGTTGGATATGATTAAGGCCACACAACTAAATCTTAAATCCACATATTGTTCCTATTTAACTGACATATATGAACTAACTAATTTATAGAAAAATGTGCAGCAAATTATTTCTTCTACTTCCCCCAGCCCTCAAGAATGCACCAGCAATAGGTGTTACTGAAAAAGACACCCCCTACACAGAATATTTGCATTCCAAGAGGCTTGCCAAAGCAGATATTGTTATTTTAATTCTCTGAATCTGTGCCCTAATAATAGGGGGGGGGGGGTACCAAAGCAGATATTGTTATTTTAATTCTCTGAATCTGTGCCCTCATAATAAGGGGGGGGGTTACCCAGATAAACCTATAAACTTCAATTTCCTCACTAGAAAAATACAGAGAAATACAGAGAAAAATACAGAGAAACTATGCAAACTCCCTTAGTGACAACTATGACCACTAATTAGCAAGGCCACAGTTTGTGTGCAAGAGGAAGCCAGAATTCTTAAGAATGTATCATTAAATAGTAGAGTTTAAAAGCCCTAAAAGACCCACAGTTGCGCTTTGGTGTGACCACTGCAAATTCTCTGACCGTGAGAAAAAAATCTTTGAAAAAACCCTGGGCATTTTGATACACCTAGGTAGAACTCACAGAGGGGAAACTCCTTGAACTTCCTCCTGGGCCCAGGCTCGGGGTGCAAAAGGCAAGCGTTGCCTCAGGGAGGAGGAATCCAGGGGAAGAGCCTTGAGTTTGAAGGCATGGCCTTGCATTTCTCGGTTTCTGAGCTCCCAATATCTCCCTGAGATTTTGTCTATACCTATGAAATCTCTCAAGTCACCACCTGCAGCTGCACAGTTGTGAGACGGGAAAGAGGAGAAAAGAAAGAGGAGGTAGGGAGATCAGGAAGGACCTCGCCCGAGGCGCCCTCAAAACCCAGGAGGCAAAAGTGGTCTTTGAAAAAAGAAAAAGAGAAAGAAAGAGGACTCCGCCTTTTCCATCCGGCTCGGCTCCTTTCAATAAAAAGGAAAGGCCGCTCCCGCCTCTCCCTCTCGCTTTCACGCGGGGGATGTAAAGTAGCCATTGATCGCATCCTCCAAGTCCCACACCCCTCGGGCTGGGTCCCGAGTTACAAAGCGAGTTACAAACCGCCTCTTGCACTCTAAGAGGCGCAGCCTGGGTCTGGACCTCTGACCCACAAACTCGGGGCAGGAGCATCCCCTCTCCCTCCCTCGGCCAGTGGGGCACTCGATTCTCCGCGCACCCGCCTTCCCTTCCTCTTCCAAGGGTCTCCTCTTCCCAGGGTCTCCACCTCCGGCCCACCGCCCCCGGCCTTCCAGCCGCAGAGCCTTTAAGTACTTCCACCCACCCCAACAAGGGAGCCTTTTGAAAACTTTGTGTGCACATCTAGGGCTTTGTCCACATCCTGGGCAGGGCCGGGTCACCAGGGTGGGTGCCTGAGGGTGTCCGGGATCTCATAATGCTTGGGAGAAGCCACCACGGAAATCCCACCCCTTTGACCCGCTTCTACCACCGTGTGACACAGCGCTTCGGTTCACAATTCCCATGCCCTGATCGCCCCTGGGCGCGGGGGAGCCGAGAGGAAACCCCCGGCGCCTTTCTCGACTGTCACGAGGGACTCGGTGTGCGCGAGGAGAGGGAGAGAGCTGAGAAACGCCGCGGCCGAAAGAACCCTTTTAAAGGGAACGCCGAGAGGGTCCTTTTTCTTCCATATCTCTGGAATAGGGGCGCGACGAGGAGATACACTGTTGCATCAGGTAGGAGCTGAGTCTCACCGCTCCGAAACCTCCCCACAGCCCCAGACGCGCGCCCAAATTCATGCACACACCCACAGCCAGAGCCGCCACGGTCCACAGCCCCGGTAGTCCCCACCCGCATCCGCCCCAAATCCGAGACCACCCTGCGCTGGAGGAGCAGCGCGCGAAGGAAACGAGGCCCCAGCACTCACAGACTGTCTGCCCACCGCCACGGCCATCGCGGCTGCGGCTGCGGCTCCGGTTGGGTGCTCTGGACCGACACTCAATGCTGCTGCTAGCGCCTGGGCTCCGGCTCGCCTCCCCCGCGCCTCCCTCGCGGCTGCGCTCTGCTTGCACTCGGCTCCCGCTCGCAGCCAGCGGCATCTGCTCCCCCCACGCCGCCGCCCCTCCCGCTTTATTAGAGCAACATGGCCACCCGCCTGGAAGGGACCATTTGCTTCCCCAGGAAGGGGTGTGATCCTGCCTGCCCCCGCCGAGGCGGTGGGAGGAAGGGTGATGGGCGGGCTCCGAGTCCGGGTCTACGGGCTTTGGCCGCAGGGCTGGCCTTGCCTGAATTTACTGGTGCGCCAGTGAGCGACCCTCTCGCTTGTCACTAAGCCACCCCTAGCCTGTGTCCTGAATGCCACCCCCTCCCGCTCCATTACGTGCTGGAATCCAAGTAAAAGCCTGGGCACAGAGGTCCCAGCCCCGGGTCCCGCCACGCGCTTTTAAGAAGAGGGCAGCTAGGGCGGCTGCAGAGAGGGGGAAGGGAGACTAGGGGAAGACAGGTCACAGGGAGAGCGTCTGGTGGAAAGTTAACCCTGGACGAGCACGCCCTACCTGGAGTAACAGGTTTGGAATGGGTTGTGGCAACCAAGGAGAACGGTGGGCGACCAAGTTGGGGTTGGGAGGGCCCCTACCGGGGTAAAATTTGAAGTCTTCCCTTTAAAAGGGAGAGACTAAAGGACAACTGGGAGTTGTCACTACAGCGTGCCAGATAGGGGACCCCACTAGAGAGGAAGCGGCTACAGTAGTTGTTGCTGTAGACGACCCAACCACCGCCTGCAAGAAGAGAAAAACGCCCCCGCTGGAGAATCGAGGCATCTGTCGGCTGCTCCAGAGCACAGAAACCGAGGCCTCCCACGGGTGTAACTGGAAGCCGCACGTGGGGGCTCCGCTGACTTTATTAGGTCGGTGGAGACACACCCGACCACTTGGAGGCGTGCGCCCCGGGGCTGCAGCTCCAGATCTCGGTGTAGGCACCAGGCGGGTGACCCAGAGGATGCGACGTGAGACTGAGAAACTCCCCCCGCTGTGGGGAAGGATTTTTCCAGCAGATGTTGGAACGGTACTGTGCGTCTGTGAGGCAGGCGGAATGGGGCGTTGGAGGGTCCCGGGGCTTGCAGGGTTGTGTGGCACCAGCACAGGCTGGGCAGTGAGATGTGTCAAATGCAGCAGATTCTCGCAGTCCAGAGAAGGAGACCCACAAGATAACTGAAGATAGCTACTGGACAGGGGCGGGAACCAGTTGGATTAAAGCATTGGGGAAGTGTGGTGAGGCTTTGAAGAAAGGTGATCATCCCAGGGGATTGTGCCCTCAGGGAAAACCTGGCCTATTGAATTAGGTAATAGGCAACCCGCCTGTTTGGACGGGGCGCCTCTGTGTCTGACCGGAGACTTGAAAGCACCAAACTTTCTGGGGACCTTGAGTTTGCTCCTCCATCAGGGTTCAAATGATTTCCACAGCTTTTGGGTAAAGAGGAGTGGTCTTCCTGCACCGGTTCAGCTTTGATGGAGCAGATACTTGAGTTTCTGTGATAGGCCAGGAGCAATATAATTCCACTGGCAGGACAGCGGTGGAACAGCCAGAGAAGAGAGAACAGTGGTGAAAGAAAAGTGAAGGGCACTGACATGGAACCTGATATCTAGACCCATGCTCAAAAGAATTCCAACCTTTGATCAATGTCTATGCCAGAGACTTCAAATCTTTTGAAGATAGGTACCACTATTTTATGCCAAACAAACATTAGGCACTCAATAAGTGTTGAATTAAGATTACACGTGGATGGCTGCAATGCAGAGGGAGGGGGGAAAATACTTTCGTCTGCAGCTCTGATATATGGGCATTTTGTTCTTTCTCTCATAGAAAGACTCAGACTGTGCACTGCCAGTGGACAAGGAGGCTCAGGTGTGCCTTGTGAAAGAGAACTCCACATAGAACCAATGGATATAAGGGCAATTATAAAGAAATTCTCCACTTTGTATTATACTAACCAGACCAGACTGCAGATTTTCTTTATTTTTCATTTAGTTTGTGAATACTTACTTGTAAACTGATTAGATTATAAGAACTTGAACTCCCTACCTTGGTGGGTAGCTAAGTTCATTCTAATTAAAAAAAACTAAAAGTCACATATTCTAACATCTCAATTGATATTTAAGGAAACCCATTTAGGACAAAATCACTGATAGTTCATCCAGCATTGAATCCTTTCACTGACTAGGAACAATGCCTTATTGCTTCTCTCCTCCATTTTGGTTTTTTTGTGGGGGTGGTGGTGGAGGGAGGATACAGCTGTAAGCATAAATATATTTAATAAAAGTACAATATGGGAAGTGCTGGGGTTGTGGCTCAGTAGTGGAGCACTTGCCTCGCACAAGTGAGGTGCTAGATTTAATCCTCAGCACCATATAAAAATAAATAAAATAAAGATATTGTGTCCATCTGTAACTTAAAATATATTTTAAATACAATATGTCAATCCCCATCACTGCAAATAATAATAATAACACTTTCAACCTATGGACACAATTTCAATATGTCAGCTCTCATTTTGAAATTATTTTAATATTATTCTACAACCAAGACTACCTAGATTCAAAATCCTGACTTTACTGCTTCATAGCTGGGTGACCTTGGGTAAGTTCATTAATCTTTTAGTGCATTAGTGTTCTCATATTTAAAATCTGTTTAAAAATAGTTTTCCCTAATAGACTTGCTAGAGATTAGTTTATCTTTTCAACTATATGCCTAGCAACTATGCTAAAGACTAAGAATTTTTAAAACGAGGATGCCTCTCTCTTAAGCAGCACACAGTGTGCCAGGAGATAGATATTTAAATAACTCAGATAAATATGCCAAATCCTAATAAAGATATATGAATAATGAGTAGGGATGTAGTTCAGTTGGTAGAATGCTTGCCTAGTTTTTGCAAGGTTCTGGATTTGCTCCCCAGCATTATTAAAAAAAAAAAAATGAGTAATGGAATTTTAAAGTACAGTAAAGGAGCTACTAACTCAACCCTGCTTGTCAGAATAGAAAAGACTTAACCAGGAGAGAAAGCAAAGAGGAAATTCCAGGCGTGGGAATAGAATGAGCAAAGATTCTGGGTGAGGACGCTATAGGAAGGGTAAAACTTCTGGCATTGCTAGAGTTTAGGAACCTTAGAGGAACAAGAGTAATAGCATGAACGGGGCACTTCAAATACATTAGTAACTCTTAGCTTTGTAATATCAGTCTAGTTGGCCTTGCTTCATCCCCACCCCCGTTTTTTCCATTGTAAATTAGGGTAGTGAGTTCTGATGGAGGATGTCACCATTCTCTGTCCTGCTCTCTGCCTCTAGGAGCCTGAACTCAAAGGGCTTTCATTCCTTTTACCTTCCAGTTGAGTTCAGGCAATGGCAAGCAACAGCAGAACAAGAGAGGAAGGTTTGAGTATTTATTTCTGCAGGCGCTCTTACCATGGCACCTCTGCAGGCTGGCTCCACTTGTTAACTAAAGGTCACTTACTTCCCCACAATGACCTGGAGTAGCCCCTGGTTTCATTACATTTTACCACCTTTGCAAATAGTCTTTTTGTTGAACTCTGCCCAAATTTTCCAGTAGGAATGTGCCATCCCATTTCTCCAGGGACCTTACCAGATATAGTCCTTCATTAACTTCACAGCGTTTGCTGAGAAAACATGGTGATGGTATTATTAAAATGATGTATAACTTATTGTCCAAACTTAAAAACTTTTAAGATTGAAAATGGGATTTGGTGTTATTAGTAATCACACTAGGACAGTAGACAAAAACAGGTCTCATGGTCACCTCTGCTTTTGACATGTGGTAGAATTTCTCAAGGCAAGAGTGCTAATTTGTCTTTTGACTTCTAGCACATGGCCAATATTCAGTACATGTTGAAAATTCAACAAATATTCACATATTCAATAAAGGTTGAGTTACATTTGAATGGAGATGACTGGGAACTAAGGCTATGGACAACCTTTATTGCCATGATAAGGATTTTTGTACTTGCGTTTGGCATGGTGGCCCACGCCTATAATCAGTGGCTTGGGAGGCTAAGGCAGAATGATCAAAGTTCAGAAGGTTAGCTGTTACCATTACCAGAACAATCACCTTCCATCTCTCGTGCCTGGTGTTCTTTCCTCCAGCTCCTGCAACATTACTTTGAGTTTCCTTTGGAGAAATTTCTGATTTTTAATTTGAATGAATGAGACATGGGTCCAAAATGAATGGCACCGATTCTTCTTAAGTGACTATTGTCTCTGGCTCTCAGATCCATAGATGTACCATTTTTTTTGCCATTTGTTCCATTTAGAAGGTTGTACTGTATTTGTATGTTTTTTCCCCCCTCTTCAATTAAATCAAGAACTTAAATAGTAAAAAAAAAAAAAAAAAGAAGAAAAAGAAGAAGGATCACAGTTCAAAGCTAGCCTCAGCAATTTAGTGAGGACCTAAGAAACTTAGTGAGACCCTGTCCCTAAATAAAATATTTTTTAAAGGGCTGGGAATGTGGCACAGTAGTTAAGTACCCCTGGGTTTAATCCCTGGTACCAAAAAAATAGTATTTGATCCCATGAACAGTGAAGATACAGAGTCTTTAAGCATACAAATACATCAAATTTTCATTTTATGAAATATATATAGTGAATATTTGATATTGTTAGTAATGTAGGATTGATTTCCCTTTTTATTAGAGCCCCAATTTCTTTGGAGAGATTTTTCAATAATTTTTCCATAATGTTTTTTTCCATAATTTTTTTTCTTTTTTTTTTTGTGGATCCTTTTGTTGGGGGTGGGGGGTACTAGGGATTGAACCCAGGCACTTAAATACTGAGCCATATCCCTAGCCATTTTTTAATTCTTTAATTCTGAGACAGGCTCTTACTAAGTTGCTTAGGGCTTCACTAAGTTTCTGAGGCTGACCTTGAAATTGTGGTGCTCCTGAATCAGCCTTCCAAACCACTGAGATTATAGGTTGTGCCACTACACCTGGCTCCATAGTGTACTTTTTATGATTATTTTTTTAAGTTATCTAAGGGTTGTTTCTGTGGGTTTACAATAAAAAATTAAAAACCATGTAGCTCAGTGATAGAGTGTTTTCCTATCATGCATCAGGCTCTGGGTTCAATCCCCAGTACTGCAAAAATAAAAACCTTATCTAATAAGAGATTACTGTGACTATAGTGAAAATGATGAACTGGAAAGGGATACAATAAGAAACAGGGAACAAGTTAGAAGGTATTGCCACTTTCAGTTTGGTTGAATATAACTAACTATATTTCTTCTGCTTAAATAATATGTAAAAATATTTTTTAAAACATCTAAACTGTTGAAGAAGAAAAACTGAAACTATCTCTTTTGAAGATAATGTGAATTTATATCTGGAAATCCTGAGGAATACACACACACAACACTAAAAATAGCTGGGCATGGCAGTACATGCCTGAAATCCCAGAGGCTCAGCTTGGGAGACTAAGGCAGGAGGATGCAAGTTCAAGGCCAGCCTGGGCAACTTAAGGAGACCTTTGTCTCAAATTTTAAAAATAAAAAGGGTTGGGATTGTGACTCAGTGATAGAGCACTTGCCTAGCATGTGTGAGGCACTGGGTTCGATTCTCAGCACTGCATATAAATAAATGAATAAAATAAAGGTCCGTCAACATCTAAAAAAAAAAAAAAGTTACATTGTAAAAAAAATTCCATTGTTGGGCTGGGGTTGTGGCTCAGCTGTAGAGTGCTCTTCTAGCATGTGTGAAGCCCTGGGTTAAATCCTCAGCACCACAGAAAAATAAATAACTAAAATAAAAAGGTATTGTGTCCAGCTACAATTTAAAAATAAATATTAAAAAAAATTCATTGTAGAAATTTGCTAGATATTGTTAAATTTGCCAATAATTCTCACACTCCACTCCTACTACTTTTTATTCTCTTTGAAAATTCAGGCAGTAGTTGCCCTCTTCAGTCCTTTGACTGACTTTGACATTATTTTTCTCTTCCCAAAGCTGACTAATAATATTGGTTCTACAATCACTTATGCAGTCTTTCATGGATAATTAATTTAGGCCTAGAAAGTTTAACTCATTTAAAACAATTGGTTGCTTGTTTACCATCTTGGACTTCAGCAGTCTTTCAGTCACGTTTGACTGTTTTTCATGAAAACATCCTTCTCTTGACAGAGGAAAATGAAAGGTGAGGAAATTTTCACTTTTCCTTGTCATCTGATAGCATTACATCAACAGCACCAGGCCTTTGCTCCTCTCTTGTTCACCTAGTTCATGTCTGTGGCAAGTAATATTGGAAAACCAAAAAGCATATTTTACAAACTTCTTTTTAAGGGCAAAAAGTATCTAAGCCTCTCAGGAAGTATCAGTTCTTGTAGGGTCGTGCAACTCTTTTATTCATGCTCTTTTAAAATCAGGTCTCAAACAGGAATGTCCTGTGCACAGCACACTCCCTGGAGTATGAAGACTTGGTCTGATGGCCTCCTCTTGGGCAGTCAGCCCTGGAGCTGGGTCCGTTGCCCTTAGCTCTGGCTTCGCTCATTCTCAATTCCTTTCTCACCTTGGCCAGTCATTGTGGGGCCATTAGGATTTCTTTTTATGAGCCTAGAAAATTTATGTAGTTGAAGTTTCTCCGAATATTAGCTATTGCCACAAAATTAGAAGAGAAGACTACATGCCCGTATATCTTAACAGCAGTATCATCTACCTTCTCACCTGTTGTCTCATCCTGCTGGTTATTCACCAGGCTGCTGTCATCATTTCTACCAGCTGAATAACTCCAGTGCAGGGGGTTATCCTGCATCTCCTCTTTTTTATTGTAGACTTGTTCCTTTTGAGTGAGGCAGAACTAACTTATTTCAATCATAAATTCCTTGCTACCTCATCAACCAATTATCTGCTGGATTATGTTCCTATTTCATTGATTGTTCCAAGTTTCATTTTGTTTTGCCACTGTCTTTCCAACCTCAGATTTTAAAGGTCATCAGCACTATATTTCAGGTTTCTTCTGATTGTTTTATGTAGTCCTTCCTAGATCAGCAGAAGTGGATATTACTCGGTTGGTACAGTGAATTTTGGTGGATTGTGCTGTGTTCCTTGACATTATACCCTTTGGGAAGACAA